AGCAGGAGACTGTGCAACGCGGCCTCCAGCCCATTCCCTGGGCGCAGGTGAAGAAGGCCAAGCGCCAGGACCTGGCGAGCTTGATGACCCAGCGCTATGGGGAACAGCCAGCGTGGGACCTGGCCCTCTGTATCTTCCCCAAGATCCACAGGAAGGACCTCTGTGACAAGGCCTCCAGGGAGAGCTCAGGTGAGTGATGGGCTCCTTGGGAGAGCGCAGGGGGCTGGGGCGCACAGTCTCCAGGGGGAGCCGAGTTGTGGGGAGAGCTGCCCAGGCTTGGGGAGAGCTGCCCAGGTTTGGGGAGAGCTGCCCAGGCTTGGGGAGCAGCCTCATCCCCACCTCAGGGGCAGAGAGGGCAGGTGGGCGTGGTCACCAGAAACCCACCCACAGCTGGGAAATGTCCTGGGCCCAGCTCCCCAGGCAGAGGGCTGTGGCTGGGCGCAGACTGTAGCAGTTGACAGCTGCTGCACCTGGCACCAGGATCCGAGGTTACCGGTCGGGTGTGGTGGGGGGCTTTGGAAGGGCCCTGAGATGCGGGTGTCCAGTGGACTTCAGTGGATGCCCTGGGGGTGTATCATTTCAGCAGGCAGGGAGCTGTGGCCCCTGGGCTGCTCAGCCCCCGAGGCTCACGGTGATGCTGCGCCCGGTCCTGCGCCTGGTCGGTCTGGGGTCTCTGCCTGTTTGCGCTGCCCGGTGTCCTAGGCAGGAGGTGGTACTGGGGCCAGAGGGGTCTTTCTAGAGTCGCTGAAAGGTGCCCCGATGGGGCATTTCACGCTGGTCCTGCATAGTGTCCCCGAGGTCCTGGCCTCTTGGCCAGCCGCTTTCCTCGGCTCTGGCTTTCCGGCTCTGCCTGTTTAATAGTGCTTTCCGCCACAGGTGGTCTCCCCGCCTCCCCCAGGACCCCCATTGCACCCTCAGGATAAGGCTCTCTCCTTGTGCAAACTTGGTCCTTCCCTGACTGTGGTCCTTCAGGGAGTGACCTTGGTCTTGGCTGCCTTCCTCTGTGGAGTCCTTTGGAGCTCTCTCTTCTTAACCTGAGAGCTGGCCCAGCCATCCCTGCTAAATTCCTTGGTCTTCATTTGTGCACTTCCCGCTTTCCTGCGGCCCTCTGTGCCCTTTCAACCTCACCTGTCTGCCACCTGATGTCACTCAGCACCCCAGCCTTCCCGTGTCACCAGAGCCTGTGGCGACTGCAGAGCAGGACCCAGCCTCAGCTCAGCCTGAAGGGATTCTAGAAGGCGGAGCCCTTTTGTTCTTTGGCTTTTGATTGGATACTTCTACCTTCTGCCTTGCCATGGACGGAAAGGCTCATCAGGATGGAGTTGGGGTGAATCGTAGGCCCTGTCACATCTAGAGCACCAGGCTCCCTCCAGGGAGACACAGGCTGTGCCAGTCTCTTAGACACAGAGGCCAGGCCAGGCCTTCCTCCTGTGCTAACCCCTTGTTGGGCAGCACCATAGCCCAGAGGCAGGGTCCTGTCCCCACACAGAGCTCCTGCTTCCGCATGGGGAGGCCCCTCCCTGGTTTGGCATGCATTCCACTCTCTTCAATTGGAAGCCAGCAGGGCTCTGCAGTTCCTTGCTCTCCTGGTAGAGATGAACAGGTGTGTGTGTGGGTCTGCAGCTGGCCTGGCAGGCCTTGACCCTCAGGGCTGTCTGGTTGGTGGTTTAGGCTGTGGCCACAGCCTGCAGGCCCTGAGGACATTGTTTCCCATAGGAGAGATTCGGGTTGAAGCCTTCAGGTTGTGCGGGGGTGGAACTCTGACGTGCTGTGTTTTTCTCTTGCCCTTGCTGACCAGCAAATGCCTATCGAGCTCACATACAGAAGAAGTTCATCCGAATGTGGTCCAGGGACGCCTTCACTGAGATCCCTGGCTGCTTTGACCAGACATTGACCAGTGAAGAACATGAAAGTCTGAAAGAGTATTTCACTCCAAGGGTACCCAGGAGGCCTCACACGGTCGTCCTCAAGGCAATACAAAGAATAGGGAAAACGAGGTTCCTGATGAAGGTGATGCTGGCCTGGTCAGACGGTACCCTCTATCGGGACAAATTCTCTTTCATTTTCTACTTATGCTGCCGAGAACTGAAGCAGCTGAGGGTGACCAGCCTGGCCAGGCTCATCTGCAGAGAATGGCCCGATGACTCTGTCCCCTTGGCGGACATCGTGGCCCAACCAGAGAGGATCCTGTTCATCGTCGACAGCTTAGAGGAGCTGCGGTCCACCCTGATGGAGCCCGAGTCGGAGCTGTGCCGTGACTGGAGGGAGGAGCGTTCAGTGAAGACAGTGCTGAGCAGCCTGCTGAGGAGGAAGATTCTCCCAGAGTCGGCCCTGCTCCTGGCTGCCATACCCAGGCGCCCAGAAGCTCTGGAGAGCAAACTGGACCACCCAAACATGCAAGATCTCAGATCCTTCCAGGCCAGCCATGTGAAGCAGTATTTCTGCTGCTCCTTTGGAGACAGGGGCCGAGCCATGGCAGCCTTCAGCTGGGTGCAAAGCAATGAGCATCTCTTCACCATGTGCCACGTCCCCCTCCTCTGCTGGATGATGTGCACCTCTCTGAAACAGGAGATGGAGCGCGGGAGGGACCTGGCAGCCACCTGCTGCAGGTCCAGCTCTGTGTTCCTGTCTTTCATGTTTCAAGCGTTCATACCCAAGGGCGCTACTCGGCCCAGCCAGCAGGGCCAAGGCCTGCTGAAGGCGCTGTGTTCCCTGGCCGCGGAGGGCATGTGGACCGACACGTGGGTGTTTGGCGAAGAGGAGCTCAGGAGGAACGGGATTGCGGACACTGATACCACCACCTTGCTGGACCTCAGGCTCTTCCGGAAGTACAGCGAGTCCGGGAGCTCCTACTCCTTCATCCACACGTGCATGCAGGAGGTCTGTGCGGCCATGTACTACCTGCTGGACAGCTCCCGCGACCACCCCAGCCGGGCCGTGAGGCCCATAGAGGCACTGCTGCTCACATACTTCAGGAAAGACAGAGCCAGCTGGGTGTTCCTGGGCTGCTTCCTCTTTGGCCTCGTACATGGAAGTGAGCAGCAGAGGCTGGATGCCCTTCTTGGGATGCAGAGGTCACGGGAGTTGGCGCCCCAGCTCCTGGGATGTCTGAGGAGCCTGGTGGAGATCAAGGAGCCTGAGGAGCAGGTGGAGTTCCTGCTGCTCTTCTATGCCCTGTTCGAGATGCAGAGTGACGCCTTTGCCAGCCACCTCATGAGCAGCCTCCGCGAGGCCCATTTCCCCCTTCGGGAGAGGCCAGACTTGGCGGTTGCTGCCTACTGCCTAAAATACTGCTACAGCTTGAGGGAGCTCACTGTCTCAGTCCCAGAAATCTTTCCGGAAGAGAGGGGACCAAACCCCATGTGAGTCCCTGCCGTCACTTTCTTTTCCACCCTTTTTCAGAATCTGTGTGTGTGCTCACAGGGGGTTGGTGACGGGGCGTTTCACGTGGATTGGGGTCACTGCCTGCCTTTTCTGTCCAGAAAGCTCCAGACTAGCCCTAAACTCCTCTTTACATGTATCTTTTTTTTTATTATTAAATTCAAAAATAGTTACTTTTTGGGGCGGGGCTGGTGGCTCAGTGTTGGAGCCCTTGCTTGGCACAGGTGAGGTACTGAGTGTGATCCTTAGCAACACATTAAAAAAATAAAAAAAAATGGTATTATCCATTAGAACCCCAAAAAAGAATACATATGGACACATTCCCTTAATTGTACTTATCTCATTTTGACTTGGTGCTGAGCATCCAGCCCTGAGGCCCCCAGGTGCAGGGCAGGGCTCCACCGCTGAGCCCCAGCCCTGGGTCCCTCCTCCCAAGTCTTTCCATGGTGCTTGTGGATGGGGCACGTGTGCTCTCGGTGCACGGCAGCTCTCGTGGGGAGCCCGTGGCCTCGTCCCTGAGCCTGGCCTTTCCTAGCTGCATGGGTCTCCTCACCAAAGCAGCAATAAGGACTGTACTGAGGGAGGAGGCCGACTTCCCTGGGGCGCGATCCCTTTCTTTCCCTTCCAGGCCCTCACCAGGCTTCACGCTGGGTCACTCCCTGGGACCAGGCTCCAGAACCCTGTCCTCCCTTCTGCAGACTAGTGCTGCTGTGTTCTGAAACTCCTGGTTGACTCTGTCAGCCACCAGGTGGACCCTCCTAGTGTGGTGCTGCAGGGAGGAAACGGGA